TGGGCTGGGGGTGCCCTCGCGGGGCCCGCACGGGGGCAGGGAGAAGAGCCGCTCGGGGACGCGGCTGGGAGCCGGCGAGGGCAGCGGGCCCCGCCGGGCCTTGGGCGCCGCGTCGGGCCTCGCAGAGCCCGTAACTCCCGGTAGGGAGCGACCCGGGGTGTCGGGGACAGAAACCACCGAGAGACCGTGACCACTGCTGCCGTTAGCCGCTTTCAAGCACCTACCGCTTGGCAGCCACTTTTATCAGAGGAAAAAAGGCTCCAGCATTAGGATCAAAACATTATATATATATGTTTTTATTTGATTCACTGGGGTTCCTAATTCATTTATAGAGCAAAGAAGGTTCACTGCATTTTGGCAGGAGAGCATTTGAGTGAGTGTAATATATAGTTGCAAAAAGGATGGAAATTTGACGGATGTAAATCATAATAAGGAGCTTTACAAAACCGTCGTGGATTATTTGGTTACAAATGGAAATTCTAGTTTTAAGAGAACAGCAAATCCATGTGATTTCCAGCCTGTTTAGTGGGATGATTACATAATGTCTATAAAATGAATAATTTCTCTTCTAGGACTTTATGGAGATTTGGATTCTGTGCCAGACTACTGAAAACAAATCATTTTAGGACAGCTGCATCAAATACATCATCCCCAGCAGTTCGGATGCTATTGGCCCAGTATCCTGGCAGAATACCTGACTCCTTTGTGAAAGTTCAAAGAAGCAGTTTCTTTAAAATGCCTGAAACCATAGAGGATAAAACTGATCTAGAACTGTATTCACCCCCTCCGAGAGTACGTGGAATGACACAACTCGATAGAGAAGCTTTCAAAAGGACAATTGTTGTTCCAGTCCTTAAAGTTAAAAAAGAAATAATAGGTTCTTTGTTAAAGTCCTTAAAACATACGCTGCTACAGCGTCCTGGTCTAAAGCGAGTGATTGAAGATCCAGACGATGAGAACGGCAGACTTGTTATGTTGGATCCTCATAAAATACCCACATTCTCGTTGGGAGGATCGGAACAAGAGGTATTAAAACAGTTTGATATTCCCCCTGTGGTGTGCAAGCACGACTTGGAGCTGACCTACGACAGCTTCAAGTTGGAGGAGATCCTCCGAGCCGTCCTTCCCGAAGGACAAGAAGTCACCTCTGGATTTAGCCGTGTTGGTCACATAGCACATTTGAATCTTAGAGATCATCAGCTGCCTTACAGATACTTGATTGGTAGGTAAAGCAACTGTTTTCAACAAACAATTTGCATTCCCAAAGGTATATTAATCAATTGTTCTATCGATAAGTTATTGTGTGTACAGGAAAAAAAAATCTTTATCGCTTTAAAAGTTTAATTTTCTATCCAACAGACTTTTATTTAAAACTGATGCTTAAGCTGTCACAAATGACAGAACTCGGTCCTCTTACAGTTACTGCACGTTGGCTCAGTGTAACCTACTGCCTTAGATCAGATAACATCTACAACTCTGAAAGATCAGAGACAGGTTGTTCAAATACATGCTTGCTTTTGTACCTTTTCACTGTAAACTACTGCGTTTACGTATTTTATAGAACATTGAGAGGTTGCAATGCCTTAAACTGAATATATTTTTTTACCCTCTCACTCAGGCCAAGTTATAATTGACAAGAATCCAGGAGTTACCTGTGTGGTGAATAAAACCAGTATTATTGACAGCACGTATAGAAACTTTGAAATGGAAGTGCTAGCTGGAGAGAGCAACCTGGTAACCAAGGTATGTGTTCTTTATCCCTAATCTAATACACTAAAAACCAAAAATGTAACTGGAATGAAGATATGATGAAAAATCACTACTTTTACATTCATTTCTGTTGGTCTGCCAAGAGTAAAATCACAGCTGTAGTGATCACAAAGATAAGAGTTCTTTCAAGTACATAACATAGATTTTTTAATGAGAGGTAAAAGCAGCTAAAGTAAAGGTTTCTTACGAGAGGTACTAATTACAGACTTTGGGGTGGGATTTCTTTTTTAATCCAAAGCCAAAATCTTTAGTGCATTTGATCTAGGAAAATGCTTTATCTTAATTTCACTAAGCATTGTACAATATCTTGCACAGAACAGCAGACTCAGTTTTTACCTTTAAGCAAGGGTTTGTCTGTGCCTGTTTTGTTTTCAGCCAGGAGCAGGACAAAGCTTCAGCCCTCTTCTGCTCTGAGATTTTTCAGGTGAAAGCTGAAAACTAACCGCTAAGTCCTCCTTGCACTGGGTTCCTTGGTTTTAGCTGGAAATTTGGCTACTGGTTGGCCCAAACATATTTTTCATATCTGGTAGCAGTGTCATTCATTTAGGAGACTATTCGATTGCTGAATAAAATTGCTGGATAGCTCAATGGTGTGGAAATATCCATGCTCAGAGAATGCTTTGGGTTTTGACACTTGGAAGTGACAGTCAAACACTGGGCAGATGGTATTAACTCACGAGGCAAACGCCGAGTACACTGCTGAGCTGCAAGCTGCAGAATGTGTAATACAGTTCAGTCTGGTTCTTGTTGACAAAGACACCGATGGCTTTGATTTGGATTGAACATTACTTTATTTGAGAGTAACACAGGCAAAAAAAATCAGTGTGGTCGTGGCAAGCGAGCACTTGCATTCCCCTCACATCTGAATAAACAGCATTTCTTCTTTATCCCTGTTCTTACATTGGTCGTCCCAAAGTTCTGGTGTGAATCAGTTTCCAAGACTCTGTCACCTTGAGAGACAAAATGCAGTATTTGTTAAAACTGCAGAGTTGGCTTTTGATGGCTTTGAATTTGGCCAAGTGCTGCCATTCTTGTGCTCTTATCATTCTCAGACACTTATTTACTGTGTAGACTCGAGGCTAGGGAGGGCTTGAGGCATCTTCCCAAGATCTGTTTTCAATAAAGTAGTTGTCAGCCAGTCACAAAGCTCTTGACCATAAAAAAAAAAATAAAAGAGTATTTTCATTTTAAATTGCTGTTTTATTTCCACCTGGTGATTGGGACATGCATAAGCCAGCCATCTGGACTGACAGTGGAGCATTCCTTATGGCCATTCCTGATGAGCAGACCTGTTTATACAAGATCCACGTGCACTATTAATGGAACAAATGTCAATGTACACATTACCTTTTGATAAAGCGCTGGGTTTTTTAGCTGTCTTAATTACAGATACTGCTTAGACATGTCTGGAATGTGAACACAGAGGCTGAAATAAATGTTTTGGACTTTCAGGTCAAAGAAAATAATACTACATATGAATTGGACTTCTCAAAAGTCTACTGGAATCCTCGTCTTTCCACAGAGCACGGCCGGATTGTTGAGCTTTTGAAGCCTGGTGATGTTCTTTTCGATGTCTTTGCTGGCATTGGACCTTTTGCTATTCCAGCAGCAAAGAAGAAGTGCAGAGTATTTGCAAACGACCTCAATCCTGAGTCCTACGCCTGGCTGCTGCACAACTGCAAACTAAACAAAGTATGTGACAAAATCAAGGCGTTCAACATGGACGGCAGGGACTTCCTCCTGGGGCCAGTTAGAGAAGAACTAAGTAAAGGGCTTCTGCTCCAAACAGAAGAGCAGAAAACCTCTTCTCACATAGTCATGAATTTGCCAGCGTTGGCCCTTGAGTTTCTGGATGCGCTGAGACACGTCGTGGCCGGGGCGGCGCGCAGCGCCGCGGCCCTGCCCACGGTGCACTGCTACGCGTTCTCCAAGCACCACGACCCGGCCGAGGACGTTCGGCAACGAGCCGAGGCCTCCCTGGGAGCCTCCCTGCGCGGGCGCTGCTCCGTCCACCCCGTCAGAAACGTGGCCCCGAACAAGGAGATGATGTGCATCAGTTTCCAGATCCCAGCCGACGTCCTGGACGGGAGGCCCTGCCCCGGGGAAGGTGAGGAGCGATGCTGAACGGTGCTCCCGTTCCGGGCCGCATCTCCTTGCTCTTTCACACCGCGTTTTCGGGGCCGTGTGACAGTGACTCTGCCGCACCGCGAGCGTGGAGGTGGCCGGGGCTCTAAGTGGCTGCACGTGTGCAGCAGCTGCAGGGCTGTGCGCGCAGCAACAGCGCTCCCCGCCTCTGATCCCAGCGTGAGCCTCCATACAGCAAATGGTGGACTGGATAGGATCATCCCACAGGCTATAAACCAGACCCTTATGCTCAGCGAGCGTGCTGGGGGAGGATAGGGTAGCTAACATCAAGCATACTTTTGATTTGGCTGAACAGTTAAGAAACGGGGCTCAACTTTCACCTGAGGTAGAACGGCTTACCTCCAACGTCGTCGTCTCCGTTTTGACCTTCTCCCTCGTGCTTGCATGGATTCAGTTTAGATCTGACTGTACATCAGCAAGAGCAGCTTAGGCACAATTTAATTGAGAAATACGAGGCTTTTTTACAGATACTAGTCACTCGTTTCTTGAAGTATTTGTAAAAACTATTTGGTTTCAGTGGAATTGGATTTTGCAAAGTATGACAAGTGGGGAGAGGGAGACTTTCAGCCTGCTGTTTAATGAACTCAGTAGAGAAAAGGAGGTTTTGATAAGGCTTTAATGCCATGAGATTTATTTTTATGCTATTATTGGGTAGACATAGGTCAGTAACAGTTCATTTTGGCACTTAGTAAAGAAAAGATTCCCTATTACTGCCTTAGCAGATTTCATTTGTAACAGTTAATCCGGACTTTAACTCATCTCTTCCTGTTAAATCCCTTAAGTGTTACATGGCTTAAGATTTAGTTCAGGATCTGTTTATTGTCCACTAAACTTTCTCTAACCTTCTTGCAGAGAAGCCAGCCTGCAAACGTCAGCGTACCAGCAAGGACTTTTCTGAAGAGACGTTACCGAGCTGAAGTTACGGTAACCATCTTACTAGTTTCTACCCCTCAAATGCTTTGAACGTGCTTGGGTTACCTGCTTCAGATGCAGGCATATGTCACACGCGTCCCATCTTCCCTTGGTGAGCATTTGCCTCCTCCATTTACTCTTAACTGTGGGATCAATGACCAGATTGAAAGTGTTCTTCTTACTACAAAGAATAAAATTTCACTTTTTCTAATAAATGTTTTCTTGGCACTTTTCTCCTCTATTGTTTCACACCCCATAATAATTCAGTAAAACAGCCTGGGATAGTTTTCTGCTGCAGTTTTATTTTGGTAATTTACAGTTTGTAGCAGGACACACCTTAATGCTAACAAATATAATATGAATGGTGAAAACATTTTTTATATTTGGTAGGACTTGGGAAGATGGTTTGTGCGTGTATTAGGAAATAACCTTTGTTACAGTATAGAACAGGATTCTCTCTTTGACCAACAGGTTGGTGTTTGAGAACACTGGAATATTACAAGCAGATGCACAAAGGGCTCCTCTGTAAGCACAATAACCCTTCACAAACTTGCCCTAAGTTGCAGAAAGGTATAAATAACACACGTACTTGTGCCTGGGCTTTTGGAGTAATAAATACTTTTTAATGCTAAGTGATTTCATTAGTTTGCTGACTTCTACCTTAGTGTTTGCCCACAGCTAAAGCAGGAAAGAGTTTACTGCTGTTTGTGCAGTTGCAGGTTAGGTGCAGGCGTGTGTGAACACACTAGACTGGGAACTAGCACTTGGTTCAATGTTCTCCCCTTCTTGGAATCTTGTCCTCCTGTGGCTTTTGTGCCTCTGCCCTGTCCCCGTTCCTCTCCCACCGCTGTGACTGCTCCCTCGGTGCCGGCTCTGGATGCTGTGGGGAGTCCACACGAATTCTGAACATCTCTGCTGTGTTTGCAAGTCAATGGATTATCTGTAACTACACCCAGAACGGCTGTTTTTCTGCGCTGGGTGTAGTTACCACTTCTACCTGAGACCTTCCCCTTTCAATAGCAGAGGTGGTCAGGGGGCACACGCAGGTTGCATGGGAATGTTGAAGTGATGTTTGTTAATGCATAACCAATTCTGCAGTCATGAGGCTAATAAATTGAAGCTTTATAAACTGAACAGACACCAAAGCCTGGCTATCTTTACCAGCCTGGGGTGGGATGGTTTCCCATTACTGTTTCTCAATGTTAGGTAATACCAAAATTGAAGGAGATGCCCAAACACCCACTTTCTACCCCTAAGCCAGTCCTCCCGATATGAGAGGGTCTCCTATATAAGTTTTTGCTTGTTTTATCTCCCCTCTCCCCCCAGCCTGCTATGCAGTGTTACCCGTTGACATCTACTCTGGGCACAAATGACTGGATTTTGGTGAATGTGGCGTCTCCTTCTCCCTTCCTTAATAAAGGAAGCACCAAGTCTGTTAGAGAACTATCTTCCACTTTATTACATGCCAGGAAGAAAAATACATTCATTACTGTAGTCTTCAGAGCAGTATTTAACAACCATTAGCAGATGACCCATAAAAAGTGCTCCAGGGTTTTCTCCAGAGGTGTCCCTTGCCCTGAGCGGTTTCCAGTCTCCTGCAGTTAATGAATATGTGTGGAAACAACCAACCTGAGACAAGAACCTTCTCTCTGCTGCAGAGAGTCTGTAAGAGGGGAAGGAAGACACAAGAGTAGCAGACTGGATGGCCAGGATTATCCCAAAAGCCAGACAAAGGGATGCAGAAGCCTCCAGAGCTGAATAGCTGACCAAAAAACTCACAAACAGAGCTGAACAGGAAAAAAAACTAAAGCAATTTTTACTTATATTCTCATGAAATAGCTTTGTTGCAAGGTCTCTTAGGGTGCTTCTACAGGAACTCAGCTGAAAAGTTCTCAGCTAAAGATAATGCTTTTGTTTTCTGGACAAAGGTAACAAAAAAGTGACATCAAGAAGGCTCCTACTCAAGAGTTGTGTCAGCACAGTGCAGAGTTTCTCATCTCGTCCAGCTGGCAGGAGGAGAAAACCACTTGTCTGAACTGGGGAACTAGTGTTATGGGAAGAAAATGTAGGCTTGAATATTGACACTAAATGTTATAATCAAAATGGCATTTAAATGCTTGTGCAAATAAAACTCTGCAATAAGAGTAAAACCACAAACTTTAATAAAAAAAGTCTGGCTTTATTTAAAAAAAAATACAAGTGTATTTCTTTAAACCTCAAACATACACAGCTGAGTTATTCACATCTTCCATTAGATGTGGCTTATTGCTTCAGCCTCCCTCAGCAAAGTGCCACATGACTAAAGAGTTTCCCCCTCCACAAAAATGTATCTACCATTTTACAAAGCTCTTGTGCAGACTTTTTTGCCCTCTTGCACTTGAACACAGCTGGTTTAACACACACGAGTGACTGCAGCTTACCCAGGGTGCAGACGGCAGCAGTTCTGCCCAACCTTGGCCGCTCTGACCTGCCCTTCACGCCGCTCAGTGTCCCTTTACGAGAGGCTGCGGCGCAGCCACTAGCTGGGGTGCCACAGAAGGCCACTGAAGGCATCCTGCAAGGCTCGGTGACAAGCAAGAGAGGACGTGTAGCCCCCGGCGAGATCCTGCGGGGAGGCAGCTCGCACATGGGTGAGGTACCTGAAAACCAAAGAGAAGCAGTATTTTAGCACAGAAACACGTCAAATAGCAGCATAGCTCACAGCGCAGTAAGGTCAAGGCTGCTTTTTGGAGAAAGGAAAGACAAAGGAGCTGCCAGCTGCTGGAAATAAGTGTAATGAACATGTTGGTCTAAAGCTTCTGTTAATTCAAAAAAATGACGCTGAGGCACCTTCAGAGCAGCTGTGTGACCAGGCACTGCAGGCCCCGTCTGGAGCAGGCTGCAGCAATGACGTGCGCTCCCTGGGATGCGTTCCCTGCGTTCCTGCAAACTTGGGCTCTTGGCCTTCTCTTCTCCCTCCACGTTGCAACTTCCAGTCTTGCACAGTCCCCACCGCTGAAGACAAAGACGAAAAGGTCCCACCAAACCACCCAGGCCAAATCCGAGCCAAGGACTGAAACGTTCCCCATCCGTTGGCACTTGCTCGGGGGGCCCTGGGCAGCCCCTTTCTGAGAGCCCGGTCGTGGCCATCGCGCAGCCCGCGAGCTCCCGCTGCAGCTGCCTGCTCGCCGGGACATCGTGGTTCGCGTTCAGCGCCGCAGCTCCCATTCCTGCATCTCGCCCAGGGAAGATGCAAGAGCAAACCCTCCGCTAGAGGTTTGCACCCATCAAATACAGGACAGACACTCCAGCCTAACGTGAGCAGCAGAACGACTGTCTCAAATTTTAAACACCGGATAAAACGCCACAAATGAGCCCTGCTTTTCACACTCGTAACGTAAGCTGCTGAGCTTCAACTGGCTGCTTTGATTCATCACTTGGTACATGTTGCTCCTGGGAAGGTTGAGTCATTCCACCTCTGGCTTGGCAACTCAAGCATAAACTTGCAAAACGCATGCAGCCTTTTATAATGTTATCCTGAGAAACCTAAAACAGCTGCACTTCTGGCAGGAAAATACAGGACCACCAGTAAAATATCCAAAACAGTTGCATCTTTTAATTTATGACCCTACGCTGTTTCCATAAAGAGTATATAAAACAGGTCAGATTTTATAGGTAAAACATAATAAACAGTCATACCCATTGATGCCATAAACGTGCAAGAAAAGGTTGCTTAAAAATGATTAATTACAGTTTTACAACTGTATTTCTTGCACCTAATAGCCGTAACGCGCAGACACGGCCGAGCTGTCCGAGTTGTTGTTGTGAGATGCTGAAGCCGCGGGGCCGCTCGTGTCCCCGGCCAGGCTGGGGGCTCCAGCGCGGGGCGAAGCTGCTGCCTGCCCTCCTTCAGGGCAGAGGGGCTGAACGGAGCCCCTGGTGCAGAGAAACACGGTCAATGGAGGTTTTCTTGCAAGGAACCTTCTTGTAACTTGTCCCTTAGTGTTTTAGAGAGAAAGTTTCGCCCTTCCTCAAGGCCTTTTACAACCGCTGTGGGGAAACGGGAGCTCTCTCCTGTAGCCAGGAGCGATGCTGGGATATGGGCTACATCAGAGCCCTTCGAAAGGCCAGTGCAAAACCTCCTCCCTCCTCCAAGTTATTCCATCCTATAAAATCACTTCCCATCCCAGTCAGGTTTTACTTGTCCCATGTTTATTCCACGGCACAGACCTAATTTTCCAGCCACCCATAGAGAACAGAGGACCCTCTTCGCATTTTCCACGTAGGTTGTGCTTTTTTTTTTCCCCGTTTTCCTTTACAGACACATCCCTAGAAGGAGGGAGGATTGAGGCACAGTCTGTTGTTTCCCTCTTTTCAGGTCACCTGTAACTGGGGCATTAGTTTCACAAGAGGGTCTGATTTACAGATACGGGAGCATTGCTGCTTAATTGGCGTGTGATCCCCAAGGCAGCACCAGCCCCCGAGGAAACGCTGCGGGGTTCCCCCGCCTGCTGCTGCCCGTCGAGCGAGCGCCTCGTCCTCACGCCAAGGGACTGAACTGAGCGTCCGGGACCCGTTTGAGGGCCAGGCCTGAGCAAAGGCCCTGCCCCTGGAAGCGGCGTTCCAAGAATCACAGATTCACAGGATGGTTGAGGTTGGAAGGGATCTCTAGGGATCATCTAGTTCAAGCCCCTGCTCCAGCAGGGACACCCAGAGCAC